CAAACACTGATCACAGTCTGTGTGCGGATGGATTCCATATTATGGATTCCATAAAATGGCAGTCTCCTAGCTATTTACAGCATACTGCCTAGATGTTGCTTTTTAGTGTAATTCACGATGCTTGGATAACCCACTGAAGATGGGAAAAGTGTTCCCGAACGTTCAATTTGGATTCTAATGTTTTAGTAAACATTAAAACTTTCAATTTTCGTGGTTTGATTATTTCCTAATTCATATGATTGAGTACCACAATATATGTGACCACCAATTCATTTCTTATAAATTATGTAAAATCAAGTCTGTAGTTCGTTTATCTATTCAAATAAGTTTTCTATTACTCAGGAGCGAAACTTTCTAGTTTTCAGACGTTGTGAGATTTGAATTATTCGCACTATTATTCAACATTCAACTATGTACAGAAAGAAGGGCTGGGAAGGGATTTTGGAGCTCAAGAAAACGCGCATACTTCTCCCACTACGTCAATATAGTCTTTATTGTTTTAGACTATAAATAAATATGCGTAATATTTATTCGAAAAAGTCTATGGCCGCAAACTACATTGCAGGAACAGCAACCGCAGCTGTGTACGCGGCGCAAACTCCACAACATGACGCTCTCGCTCACGGCGCGGAGTGGCACGGGCGCTCAAATGAACTGTTGGGGCAGCTCGCAACGCGCTGAGGTAGCAGAGGCCGCTCGAGGCGCGGGCGTTCCTCGGCAAGTAGGCTGCCGGGGCCAGGGCGATGCGAAGCGGGCGGGGCGGGCGGGGCGGAGCAGAAGCCGAGGCGGAGAGGCCAAGCATTGGTTTCCAGCCTCCGGCCGGCGATTGTTAGCGCTTTATCGTCTTGCGCCTCAATCTTTCATAAGCCGGAGACCTGCGTGGGGGCTGTTAATTACTTGCATACACATGGGCGCCTTTCATGATAGGTTCTCGGATACGTGGGAGCCTCCTTTGCCAATACCAGGTACTCCTTCAGTACGCCGCCATCTCCATTGCTGCTCCGTCTTTGTGCCTACAAACAGCCGCTGTTTCCTTTTCACCCGGGGGCACCGTCCTGTCCGCCGCCTTCATATTTCTTCCGCGTTCCACGACCCAACTGTACTAAACTCGACTGAAAGCGTCGCTACCTGCGCGTCATCGCCCCATCAACTCCTGCGCTCCTTTGCTCCCTCGTCTCCGCATTCCACAGCTCTCCAGGAGCGTCCTTCCCGCCCGAGGTCCCGCGCGGCGCCGGAATATCGCCCTGCAATAGCTGATAATAGGACGCGGTGCGCCGGCGGGGCGCCGAGGAGCTTGGGAAGGGCGTAGGGGCGCGGGAGAAGGCGGACGGAAGGATTTCTGCTAGACGGCCGCGTCGCGGGAAAGCGGAGGCGGTGGACGAGAGGCGGACTCGAGACGGAAAGGCGCTCATTGGCGGATTGGAGGGAAGTTGGAGGGGGAAATTGGAGGTGCGGCGGCGACGCGAGCGTATGCCAAGGTGCACAAGGTGGCGAAGTGGATTACACTGGGACGGGGGTCCCGGCCGGGCGCAGTCGAATGAAGCACTGTCGCGCGCGTTGGCGCGTCGAAAGCAAGAAGACTAGACGTGAAAAGATAAAGCGCGAAATTCACGCGGAATTTGAAGATGGTTCGGAGTATATGCATCTCAGTGGGAGGCACGCATAAAGTGAAATTGATAATTGGAGAAGGACGTGTGTTTAATTTTAATTGGCATTGCTTAATAGGAGTAAGCAAATAAGAATGACCATGAAAATCATGCGATTAATGTCGTGCCTTTGCACTCTAGGAAAGTGAATGTTCGGCAAATAAGAACGTGAGAAAGGCAATACAAGCTATAGACAAAGAATAATAGATTATAAAAAAAGAGTACCGGCGAACTGCCTTGAAGAAACCATAGGCCCTTCAGCGGTGCAAACGTAATTGTGCGAAAGAGCTCATGAAGCGCACAATAGATGGTGAATGGAAACAGGAAAGCTCAAATATTAGATCATACAACGGAGAGAGCCCAGGACGAACCAAGTGATTTAAATTGCTACGAACCAGACTCGCCGATTTGTCGAGAGAGGGAAGGTGAATGACAAGCGAACTAATAAGGAAGCCGGAAGCGATGAGGGATAGCCAGTGCAAACGAGAAAGATTGGCGAAAGAAGCGAATAGCAGGAGATGAGGAGGGGCCTTAGTGGACGGGCAATTAGCGTGGGAACGAGCGGATGTCGCGTGAGGTGGCGGGGCAGCGGGAGGAACATGGGAGAAGAAGGGGACGAGCAGGGGAATCAGGCAAAAAGAGTGGCTAGAAGGGCGTGTAAAAGAAGGTAGCGGAGGTCCGGTAAGGAGGGAGAAGCGGAAACGAACGGGCGGGGACGTGGCGTTGGCCGGGACTGAAATATAGCGTAGGTCGGTGGGGAAGCGGGAGATTGCAGGGAGGAGTGTATCGGAAAGTGGAGATTGGGCGGCCAAGGACGGTTGGGCTCAGGGACGGGTGGGGGAGAGCGGTGTGTAGGGCGGGTGCGTAGGGCGTGGGAAGGTACGGTGATACGGGCGGAAGGGCGGGGAGCACGTCTGCAAAGGGATTCGGCGCGCGGCCGCTCCGCAGCTGCGCTCGCCCGAAACGAGCTCAGGCTCGGCTTAGGCAATTTAAAAGGATTGTCGGTCTCTGTTCATTAAAGGAGCGCCGGCGTATCACGTGCACGATGCATGTAAGGCAATCGTGTTACGGGGGTCGCGTGGAGGAAAGTGGTTTTCTCCGGGAGCAAATGAGTCTCTCGAATGCAGCGGATCGCGCCCGTTCCATTCGTCTCCTCCGCCGCGCATTCGAGGAACTCACCCGGGATGAATTGCAAATGCGGTTAGATTTCAGCTCGCGGCCTTATTAACAAGGTATGTTCCTTGCCGTTTGGCGAGTGTTTTTATTTGCATGAAGCTCGCACTCATCTCGATTTCTTTTTTCACTTGTAATCACCCCACTTTCTTGAACAGTATACGAAGATTTTCTAAAATGAATACTACATCCAGAATACCAATTTAAAACTACGCTAAAGTTTCCTAATGATTAACAGTTTGCCTGTTTTCTTTTTATGAGTATTTGAAGTATAAAACATTTTTGCAAATGCACAATACTTATTTTGAAGTATGTACATGTAATAGCAGTGGCAAAACAATATGCAAAATTCATGTAGTTAGTGTTTTGATTTAATTTTATTCCTCCAGTTTATTATTTCCTGCGAAGGTACATTTTGAGTTATGAAATGTTTAAAATTAGTTTGTAAAGAAGTGTCTATTTTTACATTTATTGTAGTAACAGTTGTGCCGTTTTGTTTATTAGTTCAGAGCGGCGAATACAAATTATTTTGCTTCACTCTCAACGTAACATGCGCGAGTCCTTGAAATATTTCATTTGAATGCATTTCAGCTAGATTCCAGTTGATTTATAATATTTGTATCTGGTTTTAAAAAATTGCCTTACGATAAATGTTTTGAGTTTCTGATGCTGTTTTTTGAGTTTTTTTTCAAAATTACGAAATATATATTTTATTTACGTTCAGACATTCATTTCACGTTTCACATATTCCTAGTACCTCGTTATTGTTTATGATTGATGAGAAATTCCTGGCAAACTTGAAATTCCTTGCAAATTGTTTATAATGATTTTCTTCGCTCGTCAGCAAAAGGAACCTAGATGCGTTTTCAGAGAGCTGCCTTTTTGCCAATGAAATCCTTTCAAGATTTCAACTTCGCTAAGGGTCCGTGCTTCTGACTTTAATACCAGAAATCTGATTTGAAACGAAAAGTGTAAGATGGTCATCCCATTTGAAGACGCCTATTGAAGTTGCTGCGGGGACTTCAAAACGAGTCAACGGAAAGAGCCAACTTACCGAACACATAAGAGGAAAAGTTTCATGCGTAGCACGCTCTTAATTATCGCCGTGACTTTTTAATATTTCAAAAGGCGTTCCTTGGGCACAAGTGGTGCAAAATTAAAGTTTTGATACCGCCTCAGATATTGTGTGTTCATTAAACGAAGAAGAGGATTACGTACACAAATTCCAGTAGTAGAGGTCCATGGGAATTCGATTTTCGGGAACTTTCGAAATTGTTTAGTGTTTCACGCATCCCAAACACTTCAGCGTGAGCTCTTGCTTAATATGAGCTTTAAAAACATGTGAAACATATACTAGTTGCTAACTCTTTGGCAATTTCTTGAGTTAAGAAAGTTAAATAATTATTCAGACGTTTTAAAGAACTCTATTAACTTTTTAGTGTACTTTTTGATTCTGAGATCAAATAATACTACAAGGCTTTTACATTTTCATTTCTGTAGAATACAAAACATAAGAAACATAAATGTAATAAAATAACGTTATTTTGCGCGAGACTGTAACTCTCCTCTTTTGCAGATAATTAAGAAATCAAGATAAATTTGTTTAGTTTACAGTTCGATAATGAAAATGGCTATTGTCATGAACCATGAATTAATGGCATTTCAAGATTTTAACCGATATGTGGTTGGTTGAAACCTCTCGATGAAGATAATAATAATGATAATAATGATAATAATAATAATAATAATAATAATAATAATAATAATAATAATAATAATAATAATAATATATTTATTTCAAATATACATACAAATTGAAGTAAAACTAAGCAGTTTCTGACCATGTCATCAACGTCGATGCTTTTGTTAGATACTCGCTTAGCACTTCGGAAAATCCAAAAACAATGAAACCGTTTCTATTTTGACTGAAAAGTATTTGATTACGTTATTTGGCGATTTCTCATCCAACATGTTGCGATTATTTTCTCACACTGAATGCGTCACTGCTTTCGACACAGCTGATGTGACGCGACGTAGAAGATAGAAGCTTTTAAGTGACAGGATAATAATTTTCTGTTAAGTTATTCACTCGCCAAAAACTTAATGTTCTAGAAGCCCTTAAATGACTGTACTTTGTTGAGCCACAATAGCAAACTCATATGCTTCTCTTGTTCGATGTAGAACTGTCGAATCCTATGGAGCACTTCTTCGTTACCCGTCGATATCTCCAACATAGTGTGTCCGAACCGCCGCATCAGCAAACACTGGTAGCAGCTGCACGAGACACACCAGCGGCGTGGGCAGCGGTTGCATCTGGCGCAGCGGTAGCAGCTGGTACCGGCCGGCTGATACTGAAGCAACGCCAAACATTGGCGTGGGAGGCGGCTTGGCTGATCGTTACAACAGCGTCCTTTGAAAGTGTTATGGCCAAAACGAAAACCTTGTACTATAGTTTCGCATGATTTTGCTCTCTCTTTGTAATAAGTAGTAATTTACTGAAGTTGAAAGAAATTAAAACTGCTAAAAATAAAATACAATGTCATTTTCCAAAGCACGGCCGTTCTGCAGTGCCTTTGAATGCTTGTCAAAACGTTGTTGAGAAAATATCATCTTGGTTGCATAAGATGTTTGTTCGTAAATAGTAATTTAACCTAGTGATAACATTGGAAGAAACATCAGAAACGAATAGGAAATAATTGAAATACGTACTAATATTAGATAGCAGTAAACTACTCTTCTATTTGCTCACAGTATGTATCATTAAATCAATGAAATTGGATTCGTTCAAACACTACCAAAAGTTTTGACAGAGCCTGAGATTAGCTAGTAAAATCTACAGCTTTATTTTAGATTGCACGTTGATTTTTGACGATGCACCAGGACCGAGGCAGCCGAGACTTTGTCCGGGGCGAGGGTGAGAGGGACAGCGGCGGGCGCGACACGCAACGAAGGCGGCGGCGGCGACGGCGGCGGCCGGCGTCGACGCTACGAAACGCGTCGACCGCTTTTTGCTGCCGGCCGCTGCTGCTCCAAGCCGCTGCGCCATCCGCTCACCGCCCCCGCGCCCGGCTCGCCCGCCGCCGCCGCGACCTTCCCGCCCACGCGCCTCCGCGAGTCCCGCCCGCAAGCCTTGTTTTGAGAGAGTTACTTTTTATCCCGCTTGTGCAAAATAATTCTGTCGCGCGGCATTATCTTTCCTTGTCCTCATCTGTCACTCAGGACCCGCTGTTTAAATTTATTAAAACTTTGCTCGATATCGCAGTTCCAAGATGAGCTATTACCGAGATGAAAGTGGATTGATCTCCTCCGGTAATAAGCGGGCTACAAACCAAATAATATTCTGAAGAGGTTTCGACAAATGTTATATTTTTTCATTTAATTAAATTGCCTTATGTTTAGTTATTTACTTAAATTATAAGCTTAGGAAAATCAATTTAAGTTTTGGAGATTTATTTTTTAATGAAGCACAAAAGCTTAATGGTATATATATATATATATATATATATAAACATCACTGCCCTGTTTCGTTCTTTCTGCTGTGTCCTCTGTGGTATGAACTGTAGTAACCCGCACTTTTTCGTACTCCTGCCTCTTGAGTTAGGTGACTGTGGACAAGTGATACCAACTTTAATCTGAAGTGTCACTCGGCGGCGATATTTCTGGTGTGCCGCACCCAATGTGCTGAGTGTAGCGTAGGAAGTGGTACAAAATGAACTCCATTACTCAGTATGAAATAAAAGAAATTCTGAGTAGGAACATCTGAGCGAAAAAGAAGATACTTTTATGCACTCAACGTTTTTGGCTTGAGTATCACGATGAATGATTCTACATTTTATTTCCTTTATGTTTTTGGATTATCTTATAGTATTATTTACTCCATTTTCTACTTTTCTAAATAAAAAGAATTTCCATGAGGAAAAAAAATTGTACTAGCACCAATGACATTCGGTATCTTTCTCGCCAAATCCGTTATTACTAATGATAAGAGCTACTTCCTTTTTTTTTATTCTGCAAAAATATATTTTGTAATTTTTTCACTAAACAATCAATATCTAAGTTGTAGTTGATACAGCATGGCTAAACAATACAATAATTGCATTTCTTGGAATATGTACTACCACTAGAAATACTTTACGCTACTCTGAACCAATTTTATTTAAGCAACTCTCATCAATATCAATACCACTACCTCTACCACTACAGCCTCTTCAATTCACGTTGGTATCCCCAATTTGGCATGTGTAATCCACATTCACATAAACGAAAGAAGAAATAAAGAAATAGTCTATTAAATATAATTAATAATAATTTTAGAACTAAAAATAATTTTTAAATGTTTAAGTGACCATTTATTACAGAGTTCAGGTAATAATTGCACACCACTTTTGCATTATAGAACTCTTTGAAGTCGATGAGTGTGCACATTTAATATTTTTCATAAACAAAATTACCAGAGTGGTAATAATGTATATACTTCATCACTCAGTTGCATTCAAATAATCAATTTAATAATTTTATTTCGATTGTCTGTTCACTGAATAGTGCAGACCATTTTTTCTGTTACTTTTTTACATTTTTTTACTCCATTTCCATTTCACCATTTTGTTCTGCTCCTCATTGTGGAAATAATGACATTTTTTAAGTAATTAGATTTAATAGGTACGGATTCTTGTTGACTTAACAAAATTTGCTTTGGGAAATATAGCCATTTCAGAAAACTTTTAGTCTTCCAAGCATTGACTCAAGGCAAATGTAATTAAACCCCACATAAGACACGAAGAGTAAAAAGTGAACACGATAATTGTTAAACACAATGGACATTTGCAACCGTACTAATTTGGCTAATCTATCTATATAAATAAAATTGGATTGTCAGTTTGTGATTTCAAAATATCTGCCTTTATATAATCCCGTATGCTCATTTAGATGATACAAAAACCAATTTATTTTTTTACGATTTTTGTTTGCGTTTATTCTGAGTAATCTCAGGAACGACTGAATTGGTTTCAATGAAGCTTTCAGTAAAATATAGTGTTTGCCAGACATAATTTTGTCTACTTTTTCTTCAAATTATTATTTTGTCAAGATTTATTTGTTTTTCATAAATAGCTACAATTTTATTCATATAGTGAAAGTTTGAGTGAAATTTAATACGAGAAAAATTACGCTCTATATGAGATTTTGTAAAAATTACTCCTATCTCGTAGAGTTATATTTGTAAGTGCACTCTTGTATTTTTCGCAAATATCTCGAAAGCAATCAGTAAATTCTCCAAAGTGGGTTAAAATTTTCTAAAAACCCATAACAATTCTTGCCAAATGCTTTTTTTATTTATTCCAACAACCCAATTTAGGTTAAGAGTAATAACTGAAGGTCAAAATTGTTACTGAACATTAGCTGATTGTAGGCAAGAATGCATCTTTGCACAACTGCCCTTAGCAGCGATTTTGGTAGCACGATGATCGTAACAAACATGATACGCCAAGTATTCAGCCAGTATGTATTTATAAGTAAAATAAGTGTATGTGCTTGTGATTAAAAATACCTGTAATTTTAGAATCTCATATATTTATTTAGCAAAAAACCAAAAATTTTATTAGTATAAAACCAAATCAATTGCTTTTATGATTTTTGTCTGTTTGCCTGGGGTGACCTCTAAATTGTCTGAACCGATTTCGATGCGGTTTTGAGTAAAAGGTTGCTTTTTAGGCTACTTTTTTAAATTACTGTTTTCTCTTACATAAATAGGAAAGTTTGTTTGTTTTTATACAAAATCGGATCTTAATGACATTTTATGTAAGTGATCTTCAAAACAGAATATAGATTATTGTCTACAAGAGATTTCATAATATTGCAACTGTCCTTTCCTACCCCTTAAAAGTAAATGAAAGAGTAAATTCTTTCAGTTTTTCGCGAACATCCCAAAAACATTGAGGAAATTCACCAAAGTGAATTAAACATTTTAAAGCGTATAAAACTTTTCCTAAATACTCTTTGATTCATTCATATATCGGAATTACGCTTTGAATTATTGAATGTCATCATTTATTGTGGGAATTTTCTGGTACTATGCAACAGTGCGGCTGTTTACAGCTACTCAGAGCAACGATAATCGTATCAAATAGAGCAAATAGGTTTGGGGGGCAGGTGTCGCAAAGCGAGCTGAGGCGAGGTAGGGTAAGAAGAGAGACAAAGTGGAGCTAGGTAGTTAGGATGGGGCAGGCCTTTCTGACAGAGGATTGTGATGAATAATTAACCGGACAATGTCGTTTATTTCCGCTAGTTTAAAGAACGTATACTTGTAAGGATATGTGGCATATTCTGGTCTTATACTGGCATGAATGTGAGATAAAGGGTTAAGTTAATTTCAACTTGCATTGATGTATCAAAATTAAATATTTATGTGAGTCATGGTATTTAAGCTACATATAATTTACAAGAAACTGACTATATTTCTTTCAACTTATATTGTTATTGTTTTTTATCTTTTTGGCCGCAATGTCAATGCATTTCTCCTAATATTAACCTGTCTGATAACAATTAACATTACTGAAACTAACCACAAAAGTAATTTTTTGGTCAGAAAATTTCGACTCACTCCTTTTTAACATGTTTGTAGTAATTCGTACAGAGGAGCGACAGTACAAATTAAAGAATGTAAGCGTGACTGAATTTACTCTCAAACGAGAGAACCACGGTAGCAAGTGCCTCTGTATGTCCTCTGTATCGCTCGGGACCTAAGCAACTCGAAAAAGCCAGCCGTACTGAATCTGGGCAGTACGAATTAACGAATGGAAGAGAGTCCCCTAAAATCTCTGGGGACCGATTGTGGTGCATGGCCGAAACTGTAAGGCTAAATGCTATTGAACACACAGAGGCCTATCCTAAATGTAAATGTGAGTTTCATTTGTATAAGTGTTATTTCTCATTCATGAAGCAATAGGTTCTTTCTCAAAAAGAATATTTTTTCTATACAATCTCCAATTCTATGCAAGTACTTATCAAAACAATGAGACATTTACCATGTTAGTACAGTATCTTTTTAACTCACTCATGCAACCCTGAAAGAAGGAATGGGTTGGAAGAGAAAATCCGGAACGTCCTCTTTCTCTTGGATTCCTCATTCTCATTCTCTTGCTTATTCGCTTTGCAGAAGGAGAAAAAATGTTCGCTATTCGTCATTTAATTATCTTCGTAGTCGTGAGAAGGAAGGCGATGCCGGTCGCGGGGTGGGAAGGGGGGGAGGAAGAGGTGGGCAGAACTCCTTAGGCCGTACCCGCGCTCGTTAGGGAAGGCTAGAGAACACGCATTCTGCGCGGGCGGAATGAAGTGGCCTTGCAGAAAAAGAAAACATCGGGGTATATTGAACCATGAATGAATGATGCACGGTCGCGTGAATTTATATCGCGACGAGGCGCGGGCCATGGGGCGAGCGGGTGGAAAGGGGGCTGGAG